TATTTTTAAATATTGATAATTTTTTAAAAATGATAATAAATTATTATTATGTTATTATTATTTGTTGGTAAGTGCTAAATCCAAATGGGTGAGGCAGCACCTGGGATATTGTACGTAATCAGATTGGATCCAAGTAAGCATAGACACCTCCAGTTCATCAATCATGAGCCCTTCTCAAAATCAGGGCACCTTTCCTTGAAGGTTTTTACCAATGATTCCATACAATAACTTCTAGTTTCATTATGTATGAAGCTAAAAACTCATATCAGTTTAGCGTTTTTTAATAAATAATAATAATAATAATAATAATTAATTATTATTAATATATTATTATTATTATTATTTATTATTATTATTATTATTATTATTATTATTATTATTGTTATTATTATTATTATTATTATTATTATTATTATTATTATTATTATTATTATTATTATTATTATTATTATTATTATTATTATAGTATTTAATAATAATATAATTACTACTAATAATGAAAAGAATAATAATAATAATAATATCAATAACAATAATAATTATAATACTAATAATATTTAATTGAGGTCAGGAATGTACAACTCTTGAGATGAACAATTGATTATATTGTTCAGATGTTGATGAACACTGAGAGATAAATGTGAGAACGTGCATGAGAAAACATACGTATGAGAACGCAAGAGTGTGAACGTACCCAGTAGGTTCTCTATGACAAGATGAGAACTTGCTCACGTGAATACAGTCGTACAAGAATGTAAGCAACGATTTAGAAATATACAGTCTATTGATCTCATGATCTTAGTAACTGTGATGACTACAAATATATAATATATATCACCGTTTAGAAGTCCCCAGTTCTAACCCGATATAACATACTGCTCTTACCTGTTCGTGAGAGAAAAAAAAAACATTATTTATATACGTTATCTTATTATATAGTGTTATCCGCAGTATTAAAATACCGATTAGTCGGGAAATTTCTTTACCAACCAGAATTAAATCTGGGATTTTTTTTTTAATTACTATCGTTACGTTCTCATTAATTTTCCAGCTATGGTACCTGATTACCATATATATCTAAAGGATACCTGAAGGATGTTTCCGAGAGTCAGTGCTCCCCCGGTCCTGTCCCAGACTAAGCCTCTTGATAGATCAAGGCCCTGATCAACCAGGCTGTTACTGCTGGCCATATGCAGTACAGTGTACGGATCAGCCCTGTTGGTCATGAACAAACTTGACGAGTTCATCAAATTCTCCCTAGAAGACAACTTGGGGGTTTATTAAGTAATTCTCCTTTTGTATGATGGGAGAATATTGAACAGTCTTGGGTCCCCTGCACTTACTAGGTTGACTCTCAGTGTCTTCAAGGTCCTCTTGATCCTCAATTGGGGTACTTTGAATAGTCTGCTGAGGCTCTTGCTTCGTAGGGAGTGATTTCTATGTGCAGATTTGGGACCAGTTCCTCTAGGATTTTCCACGTGTAAAATTATGATATATATTTTTTTTCACCTGTGTTCCAAGGAATAAACGTTTCCAATAATTTAGGTCCTAAACTGAGCCTACACGTGCACTGAAGGTTCACTGTACGTTCTCTAGATCTGCAATTTCGCCTGTCATAACTCTGTTTACTATTACTCCTGTTCTGTTTGTTAGGAAGTTTAATATCCATCTGTCCACATTTCCACTAATTAATTTTCCACGCATTTTGTGCGCTATTGCGCCAGGATCGCACTTGTCGAAGGCTTTTGCAAAGTCTGTGTATACTACAGCTGCATTCTGTTTATCTGTCACTGCACCTAAGACCATATCGTATGTCGGTCAGGAGGCTTGCGAGAGGCAGGAGCGACCTGCGAGAGGCAGGAGCGACCTGCGAGAGGCAGGAGCGACCTGCTCTCAACCATGGTCCTCCTTGTTGTGATCCATATGGCTAGTAATGCTGCTTTTTAAAGCTTATTTTGGAAGTTTTTATGATGTGGGACGTTAGCGCTATCAGTCTATAATTCTCTGCTATTGCTACCCGAGTGGAAGTGGGGCTTTATCCACTGTTTTTAGTGGCTGTGATACTATACTAATACATATATATATATATATACTATATATATATATATATATATTATATATATATATATATATATATAATGTATTATATATATTATATTATGTATAAACAATTCGCCGTTTCCACCAAGGCAGGGTGGCCCTAGAAAGAAAAACTTTCACCATCGTTCACTCCAACACTGTCTTGCCAGAGGCACGTTTACACTACAGTTATAAAACTGCAACATTAACAGCCCTCCTTCAGAGTGCAGACACTGTACTTCCCATCTCCAGGACTCAAGTCCGGCCTGCCGGTTTCCCTGAATCTCTCCATAAATGCTTACCTTGCTCACACTCCAACAGCACGTCAAGTCCTAAAACCCATTTATCTCCATTCGCTCCTATCTAACATGCTCACGCATGCCTGCTGGAAGTCCAAGCCCCTCGCACACAAAACCTCCTTTACCCCCTCCCTCCAACCTTTCCTAGGCCGACCTCTACCTCGCCTTCCCTCCTCTACAGATTAATACACTCTCGTCATTCTAGTTTGTTCCATCCTTTGTACATATCCGAACCACCTCAACAATCCCTCCTCAGCCCTCTGGATAATAGTTTTGGTAATCTCGTACCTCCTTCTAATTTCCAAACTACGAATTCTCTGCATTATATTCACACCACACATTGCCCCAGACACGACACGACATCTCCACTGCCTCCAGCCTTCTCCTTGTTGCAACATTTACCACCCATGCTTCACACCCATATAAGAGCGTTGGTATAAGTATCCTCTCATACATTCCCCTCTTTACTTCAATGGACAAAGTTCTTTGTCTCCACAGACTCCTTGTTGCTATCATTAATGTATATATATATATATATTATATAATTATATATATATATATATATATATATATTATATATATATATATATATATATATATATATATATATATATATCAATAACAACACTGCACTAGCCAAGGACTTGAACCAATGCTGCTTTGGCCAGTGGAATAGGACGTCATGTGTTTTCGCCCACCATGGGCAGGCCAAAGCAGCATGGGTTCGAGTCCTTGGCTAGTGCAGTGTTGTTATTGTTATATATATTATATATATAAATATATATATATATATATATATATAATATATTTTATATATAATATATATATATATATATATATATATATTCTGCCGAATAGGCAGAATTTACGATCTTGGCTTAAATAGCAACGCTCATCTTGCCATATAGGACAAGTGAAAATTTGTGTATGCAATAACTTCGCCAAAATCATTCTGAACCTAACGAAAAAAAATATATTTGATTATGTTTGTTTAGTACTAAATTAGTGTAAACGTATTTAAAATATATTTAGTTGGGTTAGACTAAAATAAATTGCTCTTGTTATAATAAGGTTAGGTAAGTTTTCTATGATTCTTTTGGAGCAAAATTAAAAAATTTTACATTAACATTAATGAAAAAAATATATCTTTAAACGTATAAGAGAAAATTTCAGAAAGGACTAATTTTAAATGAGTTCTTGCTAATTGACCAGTTTTACATATTCGGCACGACATATATATATATATATATATATATATATATATATATATATATATATATATATATATATATATATATATATATATATATATATATATATTATATATAATGATAAACAACACGAAAAATCATAACAATTAGAATTAATTTCATTAGTTAAAAATATTAATCACAACAAAATGAACAAAAATATAATAATAATAATAATAAGTAATAATAATAATAATAATAATAATAATAATAATAATAATATTAATAATAATAATAATAATAATAATAATAATAATAATAATAATAATAAAATAATAATAATATTATTATTATTATTATTATTATTATTATTATTATTATTATTATTATTATTATTATTATTTATTATTACTATTGTTGTTGTTGTTTTTGTTGTGTGCTTTCATTATCTCAATATGTGGAGGCGCTAAACCTGTATGGGTCATACAGCGCCAGGAAAATGAGAGGTAATCAGGGGAAAGGTGGTTCTCATTCCTTGCATCAAGAGCACTTCACTGGCATCAAGGTGCCCGTCCACCCTTTTGAGGGTCCCTTACTGAAGGAGCTGAGACCTGTGGTCTTTGACCAGTGTTCTTATGGTGGTCCTAGCGACGGAAAGTCCTAAATGTGGTCCCTAAGATGGGCCTGAAGAAGTCAGGTCTTACCTGTGGTCCCTAAGATGGTCCTGAAGGTGTCAGGTCTTACCTGTGGTCTCTAGGATGGTCCAAGGCGGCAGGTCTTACCTGTGGTCTCTAAGTTGGTCCTGAAGGAGTCAGGTCTTACCTCTGGTCTCTAAGATGGTACTGAAGGCGTCAGGTCTTAGATGTGGTCCCTAAGATGGTCCTGAAAGCGTCAGGTCTTACCTGTGGTCCCTAAGGTGGTCTTGGCGACGGAAGGCCTTGCCGCATATGTCACAGGTGTACGGACGCTCGTCCGTGTGCGTTCTCTCGTGGATCAACAAGTTGTAACTCTTCGTGAACTGCCTGTTGCAGTATTTGCAAATAAATTGCTTCTTGGGCCTGGGCGTCCTGCCCCTGCCCAGTGCCCTGCGATACCCCAGCGCTGGCTGCTGCTGCTGCTGCTGTTGCTGCTGCTGTTGCTGCTGTTGCTGCTGCTGCTGCGCCAACATGGTATGGTAGAGAGGGCTCAGCAACAGCGGGTACGTGTCCGTAAGCAGCGGTAGAGACCTAACGGAGGACATTAACGGGGATACCTGCGCTAAGGTGGTGGCCGGTGACGCCGGCAGCGGGGGACTTGCGCTCGCGGCGCGCTTCTCCTGTCCCGATACGCTCTCCGCGAGCCGCGAGAAGTCGAATTTTTTCCCATGGGATGCCGCGTGTCGCTGCGTGAGACGGGAGATGCCGGTCAGTGCCAAGTATGACTCGAAAGCAGCCAGGTTGAGTGCCGCCAGGTCAGGCATCGCGGCCCGTCCAATGGATGGGAAGACAGCTGTGAAAGCTGACGACCGCGGCACCATGGACAGCGCTGACCCCGCCAGGGAGGAGACGGGAAGCGTGGGCGGCGGCGGGCGTGAGGGCGGCGGGGGCCCCGGACGGGGGTCACTCATGGCGGCGGATGTGGGCGGTGGCGGCGGGGGCGGCGGGGACACAAGGGGCCGTGGGTCTAGCGTCATGACGGGTGCGTTCACCGCAGCGGCCGGATCATAACTGTGGCGGCGGGGTGGACCGGTCCGCCTGGACCACCACCGCCACCACCGTCGCCCCATTGGCGGAGCTGGTGGGCGGCCACGCCCATATCCCTGCGGTAGCCGCCCGGACCAGCGCACGGCTGCCGACCTCACAGCCGCCCGCCGCCCACCCATCCTCCCTCTCTACGCCTCAATTATCCAACTAACATCAATATGATGCCCACTCTGACTGATATGTGCCCACTCTGATATATTTCCCACTTTAAATTATATATTTCACACTCTAATATATTTCCCACTGCTATTTTTCACACTGAAATATTTCCCACTGATATATTCCCCACTATAATATATTTCCCACTCTGAAATATTTTCCACTCTGAAATATTTCACATTCTGAATTGTATATTTCACACTGAATAATACTCGGATAGGAAACCTTAGACAACGTTTCGGTCCGTCCTGAACCCAGCAGGGGCTTGACCCTGGTCCAGGATAGAGCGAAACGTCTCCCAAGGTTCAGTTTAACAGCTTATCCACCCACCACTCTTTTCGGTCCCATAAATTAAAACATCCAAACTCCCTTCGAGCACAGGTGTGGAGGAGGCCCACACCTGTCCCACACCCGCATTGTTTGGTTATATCACAGGTGTGTTTCCTCTCCAGCAACCGTGCCACATCCCTCCGTCAGGAGGCCAGGTACGTGCACCCGTCGAGTCGACACCAAAACACCTGTATTGGTCACCCAACACATGTGGTTTAGTAATTAAAACCTCTGTTCTAACACCGAAGCATAGTTTTTTATATACGTAAACTGTTGGGTAAAAGGACACAAGTGCAACTAATGGGATATATATATATATATATATAATTATATATATATATTATAAAATATATATATATATATATATATATATATATATATATATTATATATATACTTATGAGTACAGAAGTGTAGTATATATGTCTTATTTATTAAATTATCAGCAGTATATACTATCAGTCAAATTGGTTGTTATCTGACATATCAGCATTATGGTATTTCGCTACAAGGAAAGACTTTTTTTAGTTTCTTTGCTGAACAATTTTCCAAAATCTTTGCTAATCAGTTTAGCATAATCACGTTACCTTCGTGACGTTTGCCACCAAGGTAACGTGAGTCAAAAAAAAAAGAAATATTTTCTATAATTCAGTCAATAGCTATCTTGATGAATAAGGCGCATGCGCAGCATTTTGTAACTTTATTGCCGAAATGTTTCGGCTTTCTTAGTAGCCCTTTTCAGTCGAATATAGGTAAATATTACACTGGAGAGAGTAATATGCCCTCCAGTCTCTTAGTCTTAAGCAGGGGCATGCGGGGACACCTAATATACTGGAGCTGAGGTTAGGTGTAGCAGCTGGAGTTTGCATCACAGATGGGCATGGCCCACTAGTGGAAGTAGATTATGCTAAACTGTTTAGCATAGAAATTGAAAAAGACTTCCCGTGTACCGAGATACCATGGTGCTGATGTATCACATAACAATCCGTTTGACTAACAGTATACCCTGCTGATAATTTAATAAATAAGACACACGTACGGCACTTCAATATCTTTATATGTATACCCAGAGTGGTACACATGCGTCTTGTTGATCACCTTGTCGGTATTGTATACCATAAACACTATGATGTATAAACTATCTTGCTGGACGCTATGAGATTGAAATATATTTCATGGGCAGTGAGTCTTAACAGGCTGCCACCTACACACAATGAACCATCGAAAATAACTTAATAGAACTGAACCAAGGAAGTCTGAGATTCTTCCTGTCACAAACCCCACCCGTGGTATGGTTTGTTTGCAATCGTGTCATTACGTCTTCTTTCTATCACCACTGGGTATCTCACTTAACACTTAACCACTTAGAAATCAATCATGGGTTTAAGTAGACAATCTCTCTACTCCTATACTTACCGTATAAATATAGAATTACACCCTGACAATTATCTTATTCATGGATACAACCCAAGTAGAGCAATATTAATAGTAAAAGAGATTGAGTGTATAAAGAGTGAACTTTCACTCACATAACAGCCCAGCCTTCACTAACAGCTCGCACCTCCAGCTCCACAGGAAGGTTCCACAAGGTACTGTTAAAACAACCCAACATCCAAGCATAGCTGCTATCCTAACAAGTGTCCTCTTAGCTACTTTTCCTGAGTTTATAAAGACTTCAACACAACCCATAGCTTCCAGGTGATGTATCTCGTTCTCACAGGAATCAGACCATGTACTCGCTCAAGGAGACGAGGATGCCACTTCACAACTGTGACGAAAGGATTAGCCTTTCTGGGACACTTTCCTCATAAACGAGATAATAGAGACAGTCTCTGGATCTCAAGACCGAGCATCCATTACAAGTCAGATGACCCTTCGAAGAACAACATCCACAGTCCTCTTCTCGAGTGCAGGACTTAGGTCCGGCTGGCTGATTTTTCTGAATTCCTGCATCAGTGATATTTTGCTCGCAACAACACGTCAGATCCTTAAAACCATTTGTCTTCACACCGATCTAACACGCTCATGCTCTATGTTCACGCCCTAACATTTTAAAAATTCCCTCACGCCCTCCCTCCAACCTTCTTAAGGGGACAGAGGAGCGCTGTAAACAAGAGAGTACAAGTGCTCTGAAGAGTACCATCCCTGGCGTGAACTTTTATTACGCTCAGAGAAAGGTTCTCATGAACCACATCTAGTATTAGTTATACGACCTTAGTCGTGCTCTATTAAAGTTAGGCCGCCTGACATTAAGACATACAAGCTCAGATTTTTTTTTTCAAGATCTTATAGCGTCTAAAGCAAAGGAAAAACTCCTACTACAAATCCTCTAAGAGATGGACAAGAAGGCATTAAGTTAGGACGCCTTTATTTAAGAACACTTGAGTGTTCTCGCCTTGATCACTGCAGATGCAGTACACATGTTTGATGTAATGGAGGTTCAAGGACAATGTATGTTCAATGTAAGTGTAATAAGTGAAGGTATTCGTGTTCATCTCCCTGCCACACACACACACACACCACACACACACACACACACACACAAAGTGCAAAGGTTTGCAACAAGACTAGTCCCGGAGCTAAGGGGACATGTTCTACGAGGAGAGGTTAAGGAAAATCGACCTGACGACACTGGAGGACAGGAGAGATAGGGGGGATATAACAACGACATATAAAATACTGAGAGGAATCGACAAGGTGGACAGAGACAGGATGTTCCAGAGATGGGACACAGCAACAAGGGGTCACAATTGGAAGTTGAAGATTCAGATGAATCACAAGGATGTTCAGATGTATTTCTTCAGTCACAGAGTTGTCAGGAAAATTAATAGTCTGGGAACTGATGTAGTGAAGGCAGGATCCATGTATAGCTTTAAGAAGAATTATAAAGCTCATGGAGCATGCAGAGTGACCCAATGGCTACAAGTGAAGAGGCGGGACCAGGAGCTGTGACTCGACCCCTGCAACCACAACTAGGTGAGTACAAACACAAACACATACACACACAATTTATATATATATATATATATATATATATATATATATATATATATATATTATATATATATATATATACATATACATATATATGTATAATGTATATATATATCATATAATATTATATTATATATATATATATATATATTAATATCTAACATAATAAATAATATATTATATAATATATATATAATATATATATATAATATATTATATATATATCTCCAAAATATTTATTGTTCATAGTGCAGCACTTTGATATTTCAATTCACCAAATCTAAAAACGAAATTCATATCAGACTTTATTTCCAGTGTCTTCAACTGTAACTTTTATGCTTCAGTATCGTCCACTAAACATGATACGAAGCCGAACCTAGGTGCTATAACAGGTGCTTAACTGGGCATAGGTGCTGTAACAGGTGCTCAACTGGGCATAGGTGCTGTAACAGGTGCTCAACTGGGCATAGGTGCTATAACAGGTGCTCAACTGGGCATAGGTGCTATAACAGGTGCTCAACTGGGCATAGGTGCTGTAACAGGTGCTCAACTGGGCATAGGTGCTATAACAGGTGCTCAACTGGGCATAGGTGCTGTAACAGGTGCTCAACTGGGCATAGGTGTTTAACAGGTGCTCAACTGGGCATAGGTGCTATAACAGGTGCTCAACTGGGCATAGGTGCTATAACAGGTGCTCAACTGGGCATAGGTGCTGTAACAGGTGCTCAACTGGGCATAGGTGCTATAACAGGTGCTCAACTGGGCATAGGTGCTATAACAGGTGCTCAACTGGCATAGGTGCTGTAACAGGTGCTCAACTGGGCATAGGTGCTTTAACAGGTGCTCAACTGGGCATAGGTGCTATAACAGGTGCTCAACTGGGCATAGGTGCTGTAACAGGTGCTCAACTGGGCATAGGTGCTATAACAGGTGCTCAATGGGCATAGGTGCTATAACAGGTGCTCAACTGGGCATAGGTGCTATAAAAAGGTGCTCAACTGGGCATAGGTGCTATAACAGGTGCTCAACTGGGCATAGGTGCTATAACAGGTGCTCAACTGGGCATAGGTGCTATAACAGGTGCTCAACTGGGCATAGGTGCTATAACAGGTGCTCAACTGGGCATAGGTGCTATAACAGGTGCTCAACTGGGCATAGGTGCTATAACAGGTGCTCAACTGGGCATAGGTGCTATAACAGGTGCTCAACTGGGCATAGGTGCTATAACAGGTGCTCAACTGGGCATAGGTGCTATAACAGGTGCTCAACTGGGCATAGGTGCTATAACAGGTGCTCAACTGGGCATAGGTGCTATAACAGGTGCTCAACTGGGCATAGGTGCCATAACAGGTGCATCAACTGGGCATAGGTGCTATAACAGGTGCTCAACTGGGCATAGGTGCTATAACAGGTGCTCAACTGGGCATAGGTGCTATAACAGGTGCTCA